CTCGCAGATGAGATTCCTTCATTTCAATTAACGACACGCCAAGCTTTGACTTATCGTTCAGTCGACTAGACCCACCAAACCTATAGTCATGAACAGAAAAACTATTCAAATGGAATTGCCGAGATTCTCTAGTGTTGTCGTCGGATCCCCGCTGTTCGTCATCAACGTCCTTGTTCGTCATATTCATTCTCCGAGTGACGGGCATATCAGAGTACTGTAACGACCAAAACGCGATTGTCCTGGTCCGAGCGAAATAAAAGACCTCGTCTATATGCGTTCAATCAAATGATTCTACGCTCGTTCTGGATAGCGATAAACAAATCTCAGAGCAACGCGTAGCCCAAATTATCGAGAACCAAGTCGATCCAAAAATAATCTACGGTGTTATTTTCGCATTAATCACAAATACATAAGGCAGTCACACCTCTGATAGTGAGCCTGATTCACTTTCCAGCCAAAGTGTTACAAATATCCACAGAAAATATCTGCGGTAATAAAAAGTAAATAAGAAAATGAGTGATTTGAACTACCTTCCAGATAATTTTGGACCACTAGGAAAATTCTGCACGCTTCAACAGATAAAGCAAAATAATCTTGAGCGTTACAGCCAAAGGATGTACAATATAACCGAAAGCAACGGTTAGTTCAACAGCGAGCGTCCAACCGAAACTTTGGTCGCAATAAACCAAGAAAAAGCACAGAATCCTATTTACGTATAGAATCAAAGCATTTGGAGTGTGTATCCAATAGATATGCTTCACCGTAAAAAAGGTGAAACAGAAGGTTTAGAATAGAAAAATAGAATAAAAAACCACTGCCGGAAAGAATGCACGATAAAGTGGCGAAGAAAGATAGGATAATACAAGGTAATTGAGAGGAATTTTCAGTCTTTTTGACTGTTACACTTATCATTCGACTGATATGGTTTGAATGACCATATTTCAGCAAGGATCACAATATCTCGACCCTTATTGCTAGATCGCTCCATTTGTTGCCAACGCTGTACACATTTGTATACCACAGCTTTAGGCTGTGGGGCTGGAAAACTGGTGCTTGTGGGTGTTTTTCTCTTAACTCATCAGTGCTCCCTAGCGCAACACCCGAGGGCCAACTACGTTTTTTGACGTAATAGTTTTCTCTACGTCCTTCATGGAGCATTTACTCTTCCTTTCTAGGGACTTTACTCGGCTGAGGCTTGACGTTATTTTGATAACCGTATCGTTGATTACCGAACCGCCCTCATCTCGGTTGCCACTGAACATCTATCGTACATCCCTTTCTGTGGTCTGTCCTAGCACCCCTTTCTCGGCCTTTCTATACTCTGGATTCTGAGTAGACCTGGAGGTTGCGATCGGTGTCAGCGTCTGATCCACGAGTACAGTTGCGGGAGTCGGTAGTGTTTTCTTCTGCTTCGGTTTTGCCTTAGGCACTACCTGCGTTTGGTTTTCTGCGTTAGGTGTAAAGTTGATCGGTGGCCATACAGCCTTTACTGCCTTTATTGGCGCAATTAGAAGTGGAGTTTGGTTCTTATTGATCTTAAGAATGGGGGCTTTTCCCTCTCTACCGTCGGTTGTGTCCCAGCCCTTGCCTACTTGCGCGATCCGCTTGATCCCGTCTTGATTCCCATTTTCTTTATAGGTTTCGGTGCTGCAGGTACCGACGGTTTCAACCACATGGGAGTCGAAGCTCAGCTTGCAGTGGTGTTCCGATTTCCTAGCAGGACTTGGTTTCGGAGAGACATTTGCGATGGATACCTTGAGAATCGCCTATTCGGTTGCCTTAATCTTCTCTGTCTCGGGTGCACGGCTCTGCTCTGGGGTCTGCCAAACCTGATTTCGGGTATCAGGTGTGATCTGATACCTTTCCCCAGTTACGCGCTCTATTTTCTAACAGTTGCTAAGCCTTTGGTCCCGGACC